CAGTTCTGTTAGTCAAGCTTCCAGCATAGACCCACAACTGAGCAGCTCGTGTACCTGCAGGAAAGGCCACCTCCAAGCCCTAGCCCACATCACTAAGCTCTGTCTTCTGGGGGCTCTTTCTTATCCTGACCTTATACAATCCCTCTACTAGGAGGTAGACCCTTCTCCTCAGCAAGGGGTGGGAGCCACTGAGGCACCTATGTGTGTGGGTTGTTGAGTTCAGATGAATGACAACTCGGGCTAAGGAGCTGTCCTGTGCCAGTCATATGTCGGGTGACCAGGGTAACTGGAGACAGAGAAGACAGCCACAGGCCACACAGCTTTGGCAGTTACTTGCTTCTGTAACTAGCATGAGGAGTGCACAAGAAGTCTGAGTCCTTGCCCAGCTCTTGGCAAAATCTAGGAGGGAGAAGCAGCAGGAAGTTAGGCAAGATGACCTCCCAGTCAGAAATTCATCCAGTAATTCAGAGGTTGACTGTACAGTGATGTCCACAGTCTGTATGGAGTTTCACTTTGTCCCCACTCTGTGGACCATCCCCACAGCCACAAGGGTGAGCTGGCCTGTGATGGGCTCTGCTCCCCGACCCCACCCTGCTTCCCCACCAAAGGGACAGCAGGGAGTCACCAGGCTGCAGGTGGTAGCCTGCTTTCCCTGGAACAAGGCATTTTGTATGTACAGTGGAATCTTAGGCTCTTGACTATGGGGGATAAACACTAGATCCAACATAGAGTTCAGGTATATTGGGGCTCTGTTCTCAATTTGAGGACAAACTTACCAATTTTCAGTCTTAAAAAATAAAACCAGGCCAGGCAGTGGTGGCACACACCTTTAATCCCAGCACTTGGGAGGCAGAGGCAGGTGGATCTCTGTGAATTTGAGGCTAGTCTGGTCTACAGAGTGAGTTCCAGGACAGCCAGAGCTGCTACACAGAGAAACCTTGTCTCAACAAACAAAACAAAAACCCCCAAAAGTTGGGCAGTGGTAGCATATGCCTTTAATCCTGGCACTTGAGAGGCAGATTTTTATGAGTTCAAGGCCAGCCTGATCTACAGAGTTCAAGATAGCCAGGGTTATACAGTGAAACCCAACCTAGAAAAACAAAACAAATACAAAAGAGAGAGGAAGAACACCAAAAATAAAGCATTTTAACACCTTAACAGTTGAATCTGTACAGAACATGAATTTTTCTTCTCACCTGAGAGAGTGACTGTAAGAGCACTAAGCAAGACTGGGAGGAGGCACCCCAGGGCTCCAGCTCACACCCGTGCATCTTCAGGGGCCCAGTCAAGGTTCCCGGGCAGTAAGCTGTCTCAGACTTCTACTCTCCAGGCCTTCAGGCAGGCAGGGGAGACCAACCTCAGCTGGCCATAGCCAGTCCTCATTCTGTGGAATAACTTTGCATCAGGGCACTGGTGAGCAGGGACACTAGGCCATGGGCCAAACAGGAGAGCTTACTGGGGACTGGCTGGGCCCTGTACTAACTCCATGCTTTCTACTTAAAAAAACAAAACAAAACAAAAAACAAAAAAACCAGGCCATCCAGTTCCTGGTTGAGCAGGCTGCCAGCTGGCCCAACTGAGAAGCAGATTTGAGGTGGGGTGAGGGTCTGTTCCCCAAGCACAGTGTTCTGGCCAGTGAGTTCTCTGCGCAGCAGCTGACGCCTCCTGGACATATTTCCACACAAAATGCCTGGCTGTGCTCGATCCTGTGCTCTTAGGGCCAATCAGTGAAGATGTCTGTTTTCTTTATTTAGGGGAAGGTTATTTCTTGTCTTAGGAATTAGACGGGCAATTCTAGTGTTCTTCATCCACCGAAGGGGCTAATTTTAAGGCCACATGTCCTGCCTAGTGAGAGTGAGAATGAGTAGGTCAGTGATGGAGCTGAGCACAGAAAGGACATTCTGAGATGTGAGTGGATTCAGAGTCAGATGCGGGATTATCACTGGTGAAAGCCTGTGTTCTAAGGGCTTGAGGGGGAGGGTACTGGCTAGATTTACGTCAACTTGACACAGCTATAGTCACCTGAGAGGAGAGAATCTCAGCTGGAAAAGTGACTCCGTAAGACCTGGCTGTAGACAAGCCTACAGAGCATTTTCTTAACTGATGACTGATAGGGGAGACCCAGCCCATGGTGGGTGGTGCCATCCCTGGGATTGTGGTCCTCAGTTCTATAGGAAGCAGGCTGAGCACATGATGAGAAATGAGCCAGGAAGCAGCACCCTCCATGGCCTCTGCATCAGCTCCTGCACAGTTTGAGTCCCTGCCCTGACTTCCTTCAATGGTGGGCTGTAAGTACAAGTAGAAGTCAAATAAAGCTTTTCTTCCCGGAGTTACTTTTGGTTGTGGTGTTTTATCACAGCAATAATAACCCTGAGACAAGGGTCTCCAGCGGGATAGCTCAGAGCTCTGAATGGGCCTTTAGATACAACACAAGGCCAGACAATGCCTGAAATAATACAACTGATTAATCACTTATAGAGTTTTTAAAAGTAGTGAGACTAGATGAGTTTTGGTGCTGACTGTGCAAAGGAACTCAGGGCTCAGGGCTAGAAGTCAAGGGTAATGACCACTCACATTAGCAGAGAATGTCACAAGCAGACCCAGATTTATTAAATACAGATTTATTGCAAACCAACACCGAGGAGCCAGAGCAGCGTTGTAGGCCGGACACACAACTCTCCTGGGTCTTTGGACAAAGGGGATGAAATCACCCTGCTTTCCTCAGACCTCAGCAGGTGGGATTTAGAGACCAACTTGTGGCTGTCATGTCTAAAAAGAGAAAACAGGCAACGTGCCAGCTTCAGTGGGTGGGTGAGCCAGGGCAGTTCCTCGGAGCAAAGATCTACATGGCTGGCTGGGATTGCGCCCCATTGTGATGAAGACATGTAGCCACCACCACACCATGCACTACAGCATGCCACAGGAATCACTCACAGAGCACAGGTTCCTGCCGTATGGCCTACGTCTAATACTACTCCCCAGGCTGCTTTTTCTACACTGGCTTATTTGTTGAAACAGGGCAGGGACAAAGGAGAAATGCAATGCAGAAAATAAAACCACACCAAAGGAAGAGAAGTTGCCACAGAAGTGAAAACACGGTCCCCGATAAAAAGATGCAGGGCTCGGTCACTTCATTATCCCTTCTGGAAGATTACCCACAGGATGAGGGTTGAGAGGAGCCAACCAGGAGTACAAAGAAGACTGGAGATATACACACCGTGAGATTTCCTTCATTAGATGGGATCGCTTTGCATGGGGACGGGATGTGCAAATCCTAGGACCTTAATGGAGCAAAGGTGTCCTGGGGATCTTCTGAATGTGACAAATTCTTCTCCCCTAAGGTGATCATGTCAGAGAGAGTTCATCAGCTTGGTGGTCAATGTCCCATCACAAGTTCAGACTCCAGAGTGGGTAGTCAGGGCCCAATGCTCTCCTTTGATCACCGCTGTGGTCTGGACCCACAGATCAGCTTTCAGTATGGACTTCTTACAAGAGCCATCAGCTACCAACGGTAACCCAGAGACCCCTCCGATGACTGCAATGAACCAGTGCCTCTCTACACAGCTTCTCGAGTAAGTCCTCAACCTGCTCTTCCAGTGGCTCCTCCTAAGCATGTGAAACCACACTCAGCGGAGGGCTATTTCCAGAGGGCAGGCTGCCTTGGTTTCGGTGGGTCTTAATTCTTCTGGTTGTATGGTGACTAGAGTACAGAAACCTGTACACACACACACACATACACACCCCCCCAAGACTGAGAAGCAAACTGAGATGCCAGGCAGCAACAGGCACAGATGGGACCCTGTGAAGGGTTGGGACACCTGGGTCCCTGCCCCTTGGTCAGGTCTTCACACCCTGGCTGAAGGGGGTCTGCAGCCACAGAGGCTCTGAGCTCCAGGAAGCAGTCTGGTGATTTGCACAGGGGAATCTTCATTTTCTTGACTCATTTGTAGTTGCCTTCAAGTCAGTGTATAAGTTTTCCTTCCTGAGGCATCCTTCAAGGTCAAGACTGCTTAGGGAGTGTGGTTAACACAATCTGCTGTTAGTAGTTAGTTGAACTACTAACATGCTGTGATCTCTTCCTGAAGGTACCCAGGCTTCAAGGCAGTACATCCAAGAGGAGGTCTTGTAGGGAGCAAGTAGTGGTGGCCAGGCTCGGTTCACTTCAACAAGAACTAAAGTAAGGTAGCTGCAGTCAGAAGGCAGACAGCATCCTTGCCACATCTGGGCCAGAGGCCAGAACCTCAGACTTTCTCCCAACATCTCCAACAAGCAAACAGACCCCAGTTCCTGCTGCTCTGCCAATGAAGCTGAGGCTGGCCAAGTGTATTCACAAAGAGATGAGCAAGACTAAACACACACACAGAGGTCAACAAGTGAGGGGCCCCACAGCAGCCCTCGAAGCAGCTCCAGAGCCATGCTCCATCTGCCCTCATGCAAGTGCCTGGCCCCACACTCTTCAACTTAGCTGTGTCTGAGAGCCCAGCCATTCCTTATCCCCAGTCAGAAGACAAGCAAGCAGAATAACATCAAAAACAACAGCAAGCAGAGAGAACAGGGGAGGAAGGAAATGTTGCCTGCAGTGGCTGGTTGCTGTGGAGACAGAGCATGTGCTCCCAGTTTGCTGGGACATGTCCCGCCCTAATTTCAAACACCTTCATTTAGTGTTGGCCATAGAGACGGTCAGGCAGCAGCTGGCCCTGTACCTTCTCTAGAACAGTCTGAAGGTGCAAGGTCAGCATGGAAGGCCTGGGTCATCATGAAAGAAAAAAATGGTGAGGATTGATCAGGAGGAGTGAGTCCCCGGCATGCAGGGAGTGAGGCGGACAAGGTCTCCACCTCCCCATGATGAGGGTTTCCTTTCCTTCTGGTCATTAAAACTGCACAGCCCCGGGGGAGATGTTGAACATGGCTGGGTCGAATCGTTGGCCTCGGAAGGGAGAGCCTTCAGCATCCCACCCCTTCTTCAGCATCTCATGGACTTTCTATAAACAGAAAATAGAGAGATTAACGGAGATCACAAGGCAAGGCACGCTTCCTCCTAGAACAGACTGCCTGTAGGCACAGAGCCATGCTGCTTCCTCAGGGCTTGAGGACTTGCCTGCTAGGACCAACTGGCCAGAGGACTGCAGATCCTGCAGTAGTTTGTGCCCAAAGACTGCCAATTCCTTTGCAAGACTGAATTTTAGCTTTCCAGCTTCGGTTTCCAGTAAAGCACTGACTGCTCTTTATGGTTCACCTTCTGTCCTTTTCCCAATAGGTCTCTCCAAATTCCACACAACCCACAGAACCTACAATCGTTTCCAGGGAGATGACTGAGACATGAAGGGGTGGCGCCTCAGCCCTCTAGGAGCATGATAGAGGTGTACAGAGGTGTTCTAGCGTCCCTTTCCCAAGGAAGAAGCTCTTGTCATTGAGACATGCATCATGAGACAATCGAGGTTTGATCCAGAGTGTGATGACGCAGAGGAGGGGAGAGACCTGAACACGTCCAGCTAAAGAGCTAGCACTCAGAAGTGCCCGACTGCCTTCGAGGACGCAGTAAGAGCTGATGGGCTCAGTTCCTCCCCGTCTATGGCCACTCTTGGAATTGTGTAGTTACAGCCAGAACAAGCAGGGAGTGGTCCCCCCGAGGGCAGCACCTGTGCCTATGCTTGTGGCCTAGCCTTCCTCCGAGCATCTGCCTTCTTCAGTTGCTACCACAAATGTACCCAAGGACGGGGTGATCTTTCCTTCCTTCCAACCACAAGAAACCAAAAAGACTAACAAGATGAATGGCTAGAGATTACCCCCAAATGGAGTACCTGTTGCAGACAGTCCCGTAGAACGGGTGCAGAGGACACATGCTGCTTCCCTTATCACAAAGATGATAGATTGAAAGCAAAGTGGAAAATTTCCACTGTCAGCAGAGTTACTGAATTCTCAGAACTATGGAGTGTTAAACAAAATCGAAGCTTCCAGCTAAGAAACCTTTTGTTTTTAAACCTAAGTGAAGTAGCAACAAGCACATCAAAGATACTTAGTACAGAGCAGGCTTCAGTCTTTGCCCAAGAGAAGTGTGACACTGCACAGTCTCAAACGAATGCAAGATGAGACCAGTCAGATAACCTACGCAGGAGGGAGACTGCAGAGCCCCTTAGCAGAGCCTAGGCCTGCTGCAGGGTGAACAACAACACTTCTAGGAACCTGGTGGCCAGGTGGGGATCCACTGTAGGAAGCCCAGAGGGCAAAGGGCAGGCGCTAGGTTTGTTTTCACAATTGAGGGAGTCCATGATGTCCAGATAAGCACAGGTAGAGGTCACACCATCCTGTGTGCCACCAAGCTCACTCACAGTGATCCCGGCAACTGCCGGGCAATGTCAGCCACGTTTGCTAGGGGAGAAGTGCCACTGGACTGGAGGGATCCTAGACAGACACAGCTAAGGACCGATAGAGCAATGGCACCTTCTAGATGCACCTGTTCAAAGCATCTAACTAGGGAAAAGATGAAGAGCATTCCGTTTGTTGGCTTTGGAAAGAAGTGATGTAACGGCAACATTCAAGAGTTCAGATGACAGGAGAGGGACAGCACCACTTCAAAATTAAAAATCTTCAAAATACAAAGCACTGGTGGCATTAGAAGCACAATTAAGAATTCTGGCAAATACAGAAAACTTCAAGTTTACACCATAAATGGGCATCAATAGAGCACACTGGTAACTGTGACTGCCAATGCACACAGCAGATGGAGGCTGACAGAAGAGCCTGGCCCCGTTTCCATTCTCTCCCTGTTAGTGAGGACGGGCAATCCTAGAGCAGTGACCTCAAACACCCATGAAAGCCCTGCAGAGGAGCACTGGTTATGTGGCTAGCTTGTTATATCAGGAAACACAAGGCCATGGATCTCTCTTTCTAGTTGTTTCTTTGTTCAATAAAAGAAGGTGCTAAAGATATTTTACATGGAGCCCTAGAGTGCTGTACACTAAAGATGTATCTCCAAGGCATTTCAAGCCTACGAAAGAGCTGAGACTTCAGCACTGACAGTAGGCAGGTAGTGGGACATGCTAGAGTTAACACAGTCCTAACAGCTATAGGGCTGTATCATAACTATGCATAGCTAGAGGCTTCCTTGGCCATCCTGATCAGTTCAGTTCTGGTGAGGGAATCACACTGGATTCCACCCATGCACTACTGGTCCTAGGCTCCTTGAAGGTCTTGCTGGGGCACCTCATCTGGGCAAGCACACTCATTTCCTCTATGGTCCTTGACAGGTCCATGGCAAGTTCACAGTACAATCAATTTAAACTCAAGACAAAGCTCTTTCCATTAGACCACAGCATTTTCAGGGTTTTTCTTAGGGTCCTTCTTAGCTGGGTTGTGGTTCAGTCTCCTCAGTTTCTCAGTGCTGGGTCATAGCCAGTCGTGTGGAAGCCGCACATCAGCCACGGACAAGTCTTGTATGCACAGTTGTAAGGACCTCCTGTTCCACACTCAGGGTTCTGCAATGCCTTGTGGGCAGAGGGCAGTCTTCATAGAAAGTCAAGTCAGGACACCCCACAGCCTCGTCTTTGCAGCGAGCCAGCTTCCTAGCAGCAGTAACACATGGGATGCTACAGTAAGTGTGTATGTTCGCAGTGCACATACATGATGGCTACCCCTGTTATCTTTGGCCTTTTTGCTAGCCTGTTTCAAACTAGCAGTGAGGATCCTGGAGACCAGACCTTTCGGAGAGCTGCCTTGGTTTACCGGAGGTAAGTACAGTCCTGGAGTACAGGCCTGCTGGCTGGGAGTAGCCACCAGAACAAGGACACCTAAGACCGACAGGGATGGAAACAGCAGCCAGTTCCTGCAGAGGACCATTGCTGAGACTGAAAATCAAGGTTGAACTGTTCTCTGGATAAGATCAAAGAGGCTGGCTTCTTAACAACTTGAAGACGGTTATATGCCAATCCTCACTGATGCAGGCTAAGCGTTTGCCATATGTCCTTGAGGAAGGTGACACTAGGCCAAGCCAGAGGACATCAGCGCCAAAGGAAGAAAGGAGGGTTGTGTATGCAAGGAAGCAATGAGTGCAAGGGTCAAGGAGAAGGAAGAAGACAGGGAGGCAGGGAGCATAGAACCTGACACATCATGCAGATCCTGCACTGCTAACTGCCAGACCAGCGCCACTGAGGATGCTGACTTGTGTGTACTGCAAGGGATGCGATCCCAGGAACCCTAAGAATAAGAGGTGCAAACAGTTGTAGAACCTTCTAGCTTCTCTAATATCTCATAGTTACAGTCTAGTAGACTTCACTGAGGTTTGGCTAATGCACAAAGGCAGTTCAAACCACAATCAATATCTAGTATTTCTCTACAACAAAGACTCAGTCATGGCATCTGGGGAAGGTATGAAGAGTCACTCATCCTTGTTCTCTCCATTCTGTACCACAAACTTGTCAGCACCCCTTCCTGCCTCATCCAGGATGATGGTATCTGCATTCAGCGCTCCACTCAATTCAGACTTCCCTGGCAGTCACCTGACATATACATCTGAGTCCTTTTGTGAAAGAGAGAGCAGATCAAAGGGTCATAGATAGACTTTCTGTCCAGTGCACACAGGCCAACAGGACCAGATTACACTGTGACCAAGCAGGTCTGGCTGTCTCTGCTAAAGTGAGGGTTCTAAGCTTCCAAGCTACTGCCTAAGGACCTCTGTGTGACATGGACCCACAAACACGTCCTTCTCCTCACCCTACTTGGGAGCAGGACAGAAAGGTAAACCCCAGCCCCACTGCTAAAGCTGCTATGAGGTACAAGACATACCAGGACATCAAAAACTCAACCTCCTCATTGTGAAAACCAGACCATCTAACCACGATGCTGTGTAGGGCCTACAGTCAGTCAACTTACCCTGACCACCGCAGGACATGCTCATGACATGTTCCGGGATGGACCGGGGGAAGAGGTAAAGACAACAGTACTGCCTCCAAAGGCTTCTTGACCTTACTCACGGGGAACATGGCCATGAAAACAGACTACAGTGGCTAGTGAAACAAAGGTGTACCAAAGACCACTGCTACTCTGAAGGGAAGGATGGGACAAGTCACACAAACCAAGAAGTAAGGCTCCTTCAGAGACAACAGGGAAACACATTAACTTCCCTAGAGTCCTGAGGGCTGCTTTCTGTAGAAAGCCTACACCCAGTTGAACCGTCTCTGAGGCACGCTTGGTCCACACATACAAGCTTAGGTACCATTTGGCTGGGCATGTGACAGTGAGGCAAAGCCTTTTCTCCCTAAGCAGCTACTCTCAGGGTTCCTGTGAGGAAGAACCACTGTGCTCATCTGAGCAATCGCTCTCTGGCACCAGCAGCCTGTCTCTGGGCACGATGCAGGTCAGAGCCTTTGCTTTCCCACAAGCTGCGGGGCTCACGCTCGCTACAGTCCTAGCACTTTAGTTCATCAACCTACCGGCTTGTTCTGCACTGGTTGTTGTTGTCAGAACTTAAGCGGGCCCTGCAGCCTGGCCTTCCCTCCTTCCGTCAATGGGGGCTCTTAGGCTCCACCGGGAGCCAACAATTCTAGGCTATGGTGTGGGTAGGGCCCATGCAGAGACACTCTCAAGGCTGTGACGCCAGAGCTTACAGCTCAGAGGGGAGAGGTGGCTGAGTAGCGGTGTGTGCCTGTCCTCAGGTAAGGAAGAGATGACAGGAGCAGTCATCTCTGTAGGTAGGACATCGTAAACTGCAGCAGAGACTAAGCCAGGACTAGCCTATCTTCATGCCCTCTTCCCCGCCAGCATGACCCACCCGCCTGTTGATGGTCCAAGAGAGCCATGGTGCTCATACCAGCTCGTGGCTCTGGGGCTTGCCCTGCAGCTTCTGGTGGTAGTCAAAGGTGAGTCTGTCCAGGACTGCCTGTTCCTCCTCATCCACAGTGGCCATGGAGCGCTCCTTGTTGATCTTGTCGATGTCGATAGGCTCTTCTCCCTCCAGGATGGCACTCCACCAATACTCCCCAGCCTTGCTCAGGTTCACCTGGGACAAACAGGAAAAAAAGAAACTGTATCAAGTATGGCAGGAAACAGCCCCAGCCACTAGGGAAAGAATACTTAGCACTGTGAACAGGGACAGGCATATTGTACTGGGGACAGAGCAAAGTATGTGAGGGGCAGAGATTCCAGGCTGAGCTCAAGACATGCACGAAGGCAAGGTGGCTGTACGAGAAGACACGAGATCACACACAGGGACGTCTGAGCCAGAAGTCATGACGAGGGCACTTAGGGAGTCCTATATCCTATAGATCTTCTTCCTCATAGTCAGCATACTGTCTATCACATGTGCCCACTCTTACTAGGCAGACACTGTTTTCTAAAACCCTCTAGTCCCAGCAGGACCTGGCCCTGGGCTTTCCCACGCTGCTGCATCCCCATCATGGAGAGCTTTTTTGGCAATAAGGCCTTTGTCCCTGCTCAGCTCAGTCAAGTCCCTCCCTTTTTTCCAAGAGCAACACTCAAATCTCCTGCTGCCTTTAGGAGACATATGATCTCTGAGACGAAGAGTATAGCCTGATACAAGCATCTTCCAAAGATTCCTCCTATGGCTAGCGGCCCAGGTGCGTCCTTCTTCCTCCCTGGTACCTACAGGACTCCTCCAGTCCCAGTCCTTGACTTCCAAGGGTTCACAGAGAAACCCAAGAGGAGCTGAACTCAAGCTGCAGAATAATCTAGGCGCACTGTGGTCAAGCAAAACAGCACCTACCCAGTATCGTGTAGCAGCCCTTATATTGGAGTCTATAAAACTTATCACATGATCACAGAAACTCAGAAGCCAAGAGGAATTTCAGCAAGAGCGGAACAGAGAACATCAGAGGCACTTTGCAAAACTGGTATTCAAGGCCATAGCTGCTTCTGTCACAAGGACAGAGTGATGCTAGACACAACATTCCCAAGGCTACTGGACAAAGGGACACACACAAGAAACTGGAGGCACTGGCAGCATCATTCATGGTCACTGGCTGGATTCATCAGGAAATTTTTATCACAGTGGACCAAGGTGTAATGTTTGCCCACCCTGCATGGCTCTTACAGGATAAAACTGTTCAGTGCTCACAGAAGGAGTTGAGTATAGTTGGAATTTTCTCTGGGATGTAAACCAGCTCCCAAATAAAGACACAAAGACATTATTAATCATGAACGCTCGGCCTTAGCTTAGGTTTGCCCCATTAGCTTTTTCAACTTAACCTGTTTCTCCTCCTCTACTTTTTGCCTTGGGGATTTTTACCTTTCTTTCATTCTGTACATCCCACTTTTCTGCTTCCTCCCTGTCTGCTGGCTGGCCCCTGCCCCCACCCCACCCCAGCCTGGATGCCTTCTCCTACTTACTCCCCCTACCCCAAAGTCACACCTATACCTCCTCCCTCACTACTGGCTGTTCAGCTTTTTATTAGATCAATCAGGTACCTTAGTCAGGCAAGGTAAAACAGCAACACATCTTTACATTGTTAAATATTCTGCAACAGTTAAGGGCTGCTAAGCCTGACCTGCAGAACTCTGGTGTCAGTCCACAAGGATACTAAAAATATCTAAAAGGACAGGCTGGAGGTACAGAACATTTAGTGGAGGTTTCCAGAAATGAGAAAAACAACAACAACAACAACAACAAAAAAACTGTGTAATCATGACATGACATTAGTACCTCAACACTGCTATCCCCAATAGTCAAAGTGCAAGAGAATAGAAATAAGGAGAAGGGGCTGGAGAGATGACTCACCGATAAAGAGCACTGGCTGCTCTTCCTAGCACCCACATGGTGGTTCCCAAATGCTCACAACTCCAATCCCATGGGATCTTACACTCTCTTCTGGCCTCTGTGAGCATTGCACACATTTGGTGCACAGACACACATGCGGGCAAAATACTTAAACACATAAGGAAAAAGAAAAAGACCTTTTTTTTTTTCTTAAAATAGGGGAGAACACCTGCCTATGGTGGCAGCTCCATCAGTTAATGACTTCTCCTGCTTGATCCCCAACTTAAAACAAAGCTATTCTAGATATTCCAGTCCTCTGGCCCAAAACCGATATGCAACTTATGAGGAAGGAACCCTGAATGAACCCCAGAAACCCTAATGCTGAGAATTTTGCCCTGTTTCTACCAAGCTCAAGGGTTGTTCAAAGAACCTTCAAGTAGGAAGCTTTCTCTATTCCACAAGAGATTACGAGGTGCTCACAGAACTGTAAACTGCTGGAAAGAGAGCCTTTTGTCTGCATGAATGACAGTCATGAGGTCTACAGTAACATACTATCGGAACTCCCAGGCTCTGCAGCATACACATTGTCATGCCTATTTAGGATAAAGATGAACCTCCTAAGTCAGGGCTATGTGCGGTGGGGCCTCCTTCATCTGCTACCAGTCCACCAGTACCACTGCAGGGGGCAGACAGAGCATGTCTGCACATCAGTTATTGCTAGTAGACCTTTGTCCATCACACAGACCAGACCCAACTCCACACAGATGCTCAACTCTACAGCTCCATGGGCAGGGTGAGAAGTGGAACAGGACAAGTGACAGGAGTAAGGGAGAGGTTCACTTCTAAGTCTAGAGTGGGGGGATGGGATGAAGCTCATCCCATGCCAGGTGCACATGTGTGCTTAGCAAATCTAACAAAATTCATGATGAATCCTATGCCCTTTACCATTAGAAATATTTTATCTGTATTTAGTTTTACAGGACATCTAACTACAGGAACATGATCAAGTTATTCTAAAAATTCTCAAAGGTGGGCCGGGCGTTGGTGGAGCACGCCTTTAATCCCAGCACTCAGGAGGCAGAGGCAGGCGGATCTCTGTGAGTTCGAGGCCAGCCTGGTCTACAGAGCGAGTGCCAGGACAGCCTCCAAAACAATACAGAGAAACCCTGTCTCGAAAAAAAAAAAAAGAAAATCTCAAAGGTTTTTGTAGCAGTAAGGACCACACTATGGGCACTGTGCACACCAGACAAGTAATCTACTACTGTGCAACATTCCAGGCTTTTTGTGCATGTGCGTATGCTGCGTGCACATGAGTACAAGTGGGTATGCCATGTATACAAGTGGAGAACAGAGGATGCTGTGTACTCTCCTCTTTTGCTCTCCACCCTATGACAGTAGGCTAGCCAGGCAGTAACTCCTGGTATTTGCCCCCATTGCCCATTACAAACAAGCCATGCCTGGTTTTGGATATATTTGGATATATATATTTCCATATCCCACAACATGGACATTGGAGACTCAACTCAGGTCTTCATGCTTGCACAGTAAGTGCTGTTATCCACTAAGCCATCTCTCAAGCCAATCAGCCCCCTCCCCAGCTCCCCATTTTTTGAGACAGGGTCTTCTTGTTTGTAGTTCAGGCTGCTCTTGAACTCATGATCTCACGATTCTCCTGTCTCTGAGAACTAGGATTAAAAGTATGTATCACCCACAACAACCAGCCAAAAGATTTTGAAACATCTTTAATTAAAACAAAAACATTCCTCAGTCAAGTGTGCATGTGAATTGTCTAAGTGGATGTTACTAGAAGCTGAGGGCTACTGTACCAGAGAACACAGTTTCAGTCACAGTGGTAACAGGTACCACCTAAATGTATCACTTACTTATACTGGTAAGAGATGTCAGCCACCTTGCTTAAAAAAAAAATTATTGTGAAATTCACATAACAGTTCAATGGCATTTGGTACATCCACAGCAGTATATAACCTACCACCACATCTGTATCCTGAACCATTTCCATTACTCCAACAAGAAGCCTTGTACCCAGCGATATACTCTTCATTTTACTCTAATAATTTCTCTCTCCCTGTCCATACAACTGCTAATGCTTTTGTCTCTTTGGATTTTACACGAGTGGTAAGTTGTTTTGTGTCTGGCTTATGTCACTAGTATGACGTTTTGAGGATCATCTGTGTCATAGCACGTATCAGAACTCCATTCCTCTCCATGCGGAACAATGTTCCACTGAAGGAACTTACCACAGTCTACTCATCCATTCTCTTTTATGGACACTTCCCACCTCTTGGCTATTGTGAACAGTGCTATGTGTATGGGTTCCTATGTCCAGTTCCCTTGGTATTGGCCTAGGAATGGAACTGCTGGGTCACTGCAGTACATCTACTTGTTTCAAGAAGCCACCAGACTGTCCCCACTGGAGCTGCACCACTTCCTCATCCTGGCACTGCACAAGGCAGGCTTCAGGTCCCTACTCCCTCATGGACATCAGGGACCCATTTTCAAGGTTGTGGTAGTCCACTTGTTATCCCTCTGCCTAACTACATGCATGCATACAAGCTCCAGTACCTTCCTCAGTGACTTCTCTCCTGCTAAGGTTCAGGCTGCTCTCAATGCTGGGGCAGCAGACAGCATCAAAAGTTCTTGGAAAACCCAAGATGTCATTTCCAAAAATTTTCTGAGATTATTTTCTCCTGCTCTGATTTTTAAGGATAAGCACACCAGTGTGATAATTATCTTCATCTCTTATTGGCCTGGCCTCCTTTTCCACAAAGCTTCCTTGGAGCATTTCATGCCCCGCTTTGGCTCCTTACCCTCACACCCAGGACCTACCCTTTCTCTTTAAATAGTATAATGTCCCAGAAGTCTTGGCTGACATCAGTCCCTCAAAACATCACTGACTTTCTTGGTGTGCTACTTCTAGGAAACTCAGGTAAGACACTTGGGAACCTAGTCTTCCAAACAAACTACTTCATGTGGTTAGAATACACAGTCTCCAGGGAAGGGTGGGGTATTCTCAACACTGAAGACAGAACCAGAGTTGGGTGAGAACAGAGGAGAAACACTCTTGGAAAAGACTTCAAGGGTTCCTGGCTAAAGACCACACCCTGACAAAAGTAGTCCCATGGTTTGCTTAAATGAACTGTTTTTGTTGTAGCATTTTGTACTTTTTAACAAGTCAGACTTGTGGAGGTGTAGTTTGCACACAGTAAAACTCACCCTGTAGCAGTTTCATCTCCTCAAGCCTCCCCGACACCCACCCACACCCAGGC